TTTAATGATAACCTAATTAAGCACAACTTTTACTTCTCCCATGCTATGGGACTTCTAAAATTAAAACTCAAAGAAGGACCATAAAATGGCCAAAAATGCACCTGTTTAATAAAAACATATTAATAAAATAAAAATATCTTCACAGAGTAAAGCTGGGAAAAAAAAGTCATTGAACACTTCTAAAGGAAACATCTGAAAACCCACTATACTGGATTGACTACCAGATTCATAGGGACCCTACAGGACGGAGCAGAATTGCCCCATAGGGTTTCCAAAGAGCAGCTGGTGGATTCAAGCATCTGAGCTGTTAACCACTGCACCACCAGGCCTCCACTGGGTTGAATAGTGTCCCTAAAACTTCCCGTTCGTCCAGAACCTGTGAATATGACCTTATTTGGAAACAGGATCTTTGCAGACTAATTAAATGAGGTCATACTGGATTACGGTGGATTTTAAATCCAGTATGACTGGTATCCTTATAAGAAGAGGGAAATTTGGGCACAAAGACACAGAGATATACAGAGAATGTCATGTGACAGTGAAGGCAGAGATAGGAGTGATGAGTCTACAAGCCAAGGAATGCCAAAGGATTGCTGGCAACCACCAGAAGCTAGTAGGAGGCAAAGAAGGATTCTTCTCTAGGGCCCTCAGGGTAGGCACGGCCCTGCGCACATGTTGATTTCAGACTTCCAGCCTCCAGAACTGTGAGAGAAAAAATTTCCGTTTTTTTAAGCCACCAAGTTTGTGATACTTTGTTACGGCAGTCCTAGGAAACTAATACACCCAGTATGTACACTGTGCTCGGTCCTCACACGTTATTATCTCCCATAAACCCGTCAACCCTGGGAGGGAGGCTCTACTATCTCCATTTCCAAATTAATATTTTTTTTAATTTTAAATTTTTAAATTTTAAATTTTTTTAAAAAGGTATATTTTCATGAAACTTAGACTCAGCCATCCCATATCTCTGAATAAACTGCTATTTACTAGATGTACAACTTAAAAGGTGGTGCAGTGGTTAAAGTGCTTGGCTGAGAACCAAAAGATGGGTGATTCAAACTCACCAGCCGCTCCACGGGAGAAAGACGTGGCAGCCTGCTTCCCTAAAGATTTACAGCCTTGGAAACCGTATGTGGTAGTTAGTTCTACTCTGTCCTATAGGGTCGCTGTGAGTCGGAATCGATGGCAGTGGGTTTGGTTTGGTTTGGTTTAGATGTATAACCTGATTTGCACAGTCAATGTTCCAGAAAAGTTGAGGGCAAATCAACTTTTACATATAAATTATTTTCACATAAGCTTGCATTATATTATCAGACATGCCATACACTCACTTCAGACTGATAATCAACAACGTGCTGCTCAGGGGGCTTGCTGGCGTCCTACAGCCCATTCTCATGTATACACCTACCCCTAACAATTCTGGTAAGCTTTCATTCCACTCTTGCAGAGGTCTAGAAGTTAGCAGTTTAAACTACCTAAACATGCAGCGCCCACACATTGTAGATGTCTGCAAACAGCAGGAGGAGAACTATATGCAATGCAAAGTAATGCCCTCCACTCCCTATATTTGATTCCAACAACCTGGGATCACAGGCAGTGAGGTTTGACCAACTTCTCAACTGGAGTTCTCCTTCCAGAATTACTCTCCCTCCAGAATTACCATCACATTATCTTCTTAGGGCCATCCTTGAAACAGAGCTGGAAGTTTTGAAGACTATAGAACCCCATGACCTATGCACTTAAATGTGTGGGCAGCAGAAGGTGCTTCCTATGTCCAAGTTGTATATTTCCAAGTGAAGGCTTAAGATCCTCTGCAAATGAGCCTCCTGCTTTACGTCCTGCCCTAATCAGAGGTGCCCTGATATTCCCTCTTCCAGCCTGGGGTGTCTGTCTCCTTCTCTGACACAAATATCCAGCAGGAAAAGGGAGCCACTAAGAGCCTGGAGCAAGTCCCTCAGGATGCAGCAGTCAAGCTTTGCCTGGCTGCAAAGTCAAAGCAGTGCCGAGGCACCATCTACCTGGAAATGATACTTATAATGGTGCAAAACACCTTCCTCCTAGGTAGGGTTTTGGAATCAGTTATAGCAAATTGGACCAATTAATGGGCAAGCTCTTGATTTATACCCTGTGCTTCTCCAAGCAGCTCAAACCACTTCAGGCAGTAGCCTATTAATTCTCAGAAATCCATGTTAAATGACAAAGTGAGATGAGAGGGGGTAAGGGATAAATTACAAGCCAAGCAAATAAAATCATCAGTTGTCTCAACTCAGAGTGAAACTGAGTCAGTTCTGAAGAGGAAAGCTAGAACCTAGGATACTTTCAGGGTGAACTTTTTAACACTGGAGGATTTGAGATCTCCTACCAACCAAGGCCATTTTTCTTGGTCCCTTTTCCCAGCAGGGGAAAAACACCCAAAGGGAGATAGTGCTTGACAACAGAAACACCCCGCTCCTCCTCAGGTATCCACCCACCCAAGTGCCAAGTGCACTTTTGTTTATTGCTTTCCCTAGTAGCCCATCCAGGGCTATTCTCTGAATCTGGTTTGCACAGCAGGAAACCTTAGGGGAGATACAATTCAATGCTGCATCTGTGATCTATAAGGTGCTAGTCCCTGCATTGGTTTAATGCAGATAAATACACTCAATTTTCCTATCTCTGGCACTTTCTACTTAAGTTGCAAAACAAAATTAGGTGATCCGGCCCAAATTAATTTTCAAGTCTGATCAACTACATTTCCAAACAGCCAACACAGAACATGTTCCTACAACCCAGCTGTAGGAGTACGAAAAAGCAGAAAAAAAACCCAAATTGAGCATCTTGGTTTTTAAGACCCTCCAAAAATAACATCTTCCCTCAAACACAGCTGAAGTAACTCAGGATTACTCTGCTCATATGTGTTTTTTTTTTTTTTCCCCCTACTTTAGCACATCCCAATTGTACCAAACTGAAAGATTATTCTCATTAGGTGAGTTGCATCCACCCTCTTCAATATCGGTCTGTATAACATACTTGTCACTTCCCCAAATTGTTCATACTTCTCCTAAAAAAAAAAAAGTACTACATGGAATCTATGGTGTGTCAGCCCCACCTCGAGCCGGAGTCAGAGTATGTGTGTGTCTTTACTGAGGTTCTGGGTGTATCACTTTCAGAGTTGTTCCAATAGCTGAACTTATGGAGGTTTTTCAGCCACGTACTACATAAGCACTGTCTATTTTAAAACAATTTTCCTTAGCCACATGCAATGGGAAGATACCTCATAGGCTGTCAACTTTCTATTCGAAACAAATCACTCTCAAACCGTGCTTGTCATCTCTCAGGATTAGTGGGTGTTTATGTGTGTGTATTTATATCTTTGGCCAAGCAACGCTTGGAGCAAAGCAAGCTATCCCCAAATTTTACCAACATGCCTGATCCAATTCAGAGCTTTAGAAGAGGAATGAATGGGAGACGAGAGCCCTTAAGTCCAGGGGCTTCTCTCACTCAAACAGTAAGTGAAAAAAGAAAAAAAAAAAAAAATTCCTCTGTATAGAGGGAGGGGGCAGGGTGGATGATAGGGGAAGGGCATTAACCAGCAGACCAAAGGCAGCCGCGGTGGCGGCACTTCGCGAACTGCCTGCAGAGGGGAGTAAAATCTATTCCGTGTACAATAATTAAGCACCCTCGGGCTGCCTCGCGTGGGCACGAATAATAAATACACTGAGGTGGGCAAACGAATGCACCAAAACAAGCCACCCCGAAAAGGTCAAAACTTCAGAAATCCCGGGGATCACACCGCCCACACAAACACATCCATCAGTCAACGCGGGAGAAGGGACTTGGAGACTTAGCAAAGGATTCTGAATTTTGTTTTTTCTTTCAAGCTCCGGCTTGCAAAGTACGGTGGCTACATGCAAAGCTAGAGAGGAGCAGGAAGGCTGAGGGCGGCGGGGAGTGCGGGTGGGAAGGGAGGGGTGTCTAACACCAGCTACCCAGGCCTCAATGTGACGAAAGTCGTCAGCAGCCCCAACCGCATTCTAGTCCCTCCGCCCCGGCAAGCAGACGCCCCCTGCAGCTCCCCCCACCCCAGCTTCCGTCCTTGCAGCAGCTTCAACCAGCCCCGCACCAGCAGCAGCCCCAGCTCGGGCCCCGCGCCGCCAGCGCCACGACCGCGGCTTCCATCCCTTCCGCGCGGCGGACACCCCGCAGGCCTCCCTCCCTGCCAACCCGGGGGTGCCCAGAGAGCAGAACCGAGCGGGCTGCGCCGCCAACTCCCCCCGCCCCAGGGCTGGCGATGGGCTCTCGCTTACCTCGGGCGCTCGCAGGGGGGCTGAAGGTTGCAAGCCTCCCGCCCCCCGCCCCTTTCCTCCTCGCCTTTTTTTCTTCCTCCCTCCTTCTCTTCTTCTTCCTTCCCACAGTGTGTCCGGGGCTCCCCCTCCTCCCTGCTGCTTGGAGTACAAGCCGAAAACACCGAAGCCGGGCCCGCGTGCGTGCGTGCGGGAGGCGGAGGCGCGCGGCCAGCTCTCCAGTAACTGAGCGCGGCGCGCGGCTCCCAACTAAAGTGTGAAAGAAGCGGCGGTCGCAGCGGCCGCGACACGGAACGTCCCCCCCGGGAGTGGGCAGGGAGAGAGCGGGAGCGGGCGGGGAGCGAGCGAGGGTGGGGACCGGGAAGAGGGGAAGAAGGGAGGGGACCTCCTCGCCCAGTCACTCACTCGAGGGGCGGGGGCAGCCAGACACTCCCCCACCGCCGGTCCCTCCCCGCGGCGGGCTCCCGCGCGCGTCCCGCTTCCCTCCCCCGGGGAGGGGCCTGCAGTGGCTGCGAGAGCTACGCGCACCCCGGAGGAAGGCGTGCGGGCTCGGCAGCTGCCGGGGCTGCAGGAAGGGAAGGGAGGCGAAGGCGATTGTATGTGTGTGGGTGGGTGTGCGCGCGCTCGCGAGGGTGCGCACCCCGCGCGGGCGGGTGGACGGGAGAGGAGACCCCGGCGGGAAGACTGCGTCCCGTCCGACCTTCCCGCGCCTGTCACCTGTGAGTTGCCATGGGAGCGGCCTGATGCGCCGCGGCGTGGGGCATAGGCTCGGGAAGCCAGGCGGGTCAAGCTCTGCGGGAGACCCGGGCCAGCCTCTGGGTCCTGCCGCGGGGCTGCGTCTGCCGGGAGTGAACAGAGAGAAGGCCTGGCATCCTCGGCCCGCCGCGCGGCCCCTCCCCTCCCAAACCGAGCTGGACCGGCGGGCGCAGCCCAGCGGCCCTGGGCCGCGCCGACAATCCGCTTCCGCCCTGCCCGACAGCCGCTGCGCTGCAAAGATGAATGAAACATCGCTGACTCGGCCGAGGCAACCGTAAAGAGACGGGTGCGCCGCCGGCCTTGCACCCTGCGCTTCCCTTTCCCCTCTTCCTTGCCTCCTAAGACCTAAAGCCGAGGCCGCCTCTGCTGGTCGCGTCCGGGATGGTTGGGCGTCCAGGAGATCGCCGTCCACCACTTTATATCTCCACTACTTTATGGACCCTCACAGGAGGTCAAGCAATTTCCCACTCTCTGAGAGAGGATACTTTTCTCTTCTTCCCAGTTATATTGAGTGTTTCATGTGCGCACTGAATTGATCTTTCTACATTGATAGCGTTTGCATGTTTATTGTGCGGCTTCCCCGCGCTTCGCTGCTCCTTCGATGCCCTGGAAACGGAGGAATGTCAGGCCCTCGGTGAGGACTCCGGAGAAGACAATAGGGCAAAAGATCCTCCCCCAGGCCTTGGGGATTGCACACAAACCCAGTCATTTCCTAGTTTCGGTCAAGATGAAGTTGGAAAATGAAAAAGGACACATCAGAGCTGTGACAGTGATGAGGCAATTGAAAAGCAAATTCATAGTTTAATGAAATGAGTTAGTAATCACCCATTACTGAGTGGGAAATCAGCTTTTTGAAGAAATGGTTTTCCAGTTTTCTCCCTTTTTCAACTTAAAAGACTAGTATCACATTTTTCTTCAAGCTCACTTTTATTACATTAAGAAATTATCTGTATTTTAGTTCGTTTCTGTCTTTGGAACCCAAACACTACACAGCTTCATGGAGGAGCGTGGTTAAGAAGGGAGGGAAGACAAATTGGGATTCCAGTCAGGTGCTGTCAGCCACCTTCTCTGTTACCTTAGGCCACTTGTTTGATTTCTTTTAACCTTCCATTCCTTATCTGTGAAATGGGATTGGTAGTGATGTGCCTGCTTTATAGGCTTCTTGTGAAAGTAAAAGGAAAATAAAATGAGATGACAATGCATGTAGAACACTTTGCCTAGTGTCTGGCACATGATAAGAACTCAATAGATGTGAGCTATTATTTCAGAAATGTATTTTAACTCAAAATTTGGTAAACTTTCTTTTTCCTTCTCTGCATTCGTTCTTAAAGTCAGGGAAAAAACAACAGCCCACAGCTGCTGGGTTCATCCAAACGCAGTCAACCTTTCGGGTTTTTAGGCCATGCCTGAAACCTATGGTAAAATGAGAGAAATATAACTAAGGGGTGTGTGTGTGTGTGTGTGTCTACATATCTGGATTTATATAAAAGAATCCTTGAGAACAACAAGCTTTGTCCTTCCCCGCCTTTCTCCTTCCCTCATCTACATAGACCACCCTGAATAGACCAAGCTCTACAAATGCTGATTTGTGTTGTATTCTCTCTCTTCAGGGCTGAGAACAGCACTTGGCATTGTAAGTATCTTGAAGGCTGGAACTATAGGTCGCCTTTGACCTGGTATCCTCCGAACTAACAGAAGGCCCCAGAGCAAGCACTTCATACATGCCTAGATGAAAGAACATCAATACTATGAACTTTTAAAGCTAATTTTTAATTATTATAAATGGTACATGTAGAAGTTTAGACAATTCAGCTAAATATGAAGAAAATAAAAATCATCATAATCCCATCATGAAGACAGAAGCACTTATTAAGTGCTTTTCCCTCCATTCATTTCATCATTATTCAATCAAAAACATTTTTTTAAATAATATTTTATTGTGTTTTCAGTGGAGGTTTACACAGCAGGTTTACAATTTCTATACAAATTGTTCAGTGACATTGGTCACATTCCTTACAATATGTGGACATTCTCAATATTTCCGTTCTGGTTGTTCCATTTCCATTAATCTAGTTTCCCTGTCCCCTTACATTCTTATCTTTGTTTTAAAGTAATTGTTGGCCATTTGGTCTCATATAAATAATTATTTAAATGAACACAGTACTCACGGGTGATATTCTTCATTTTGGGAGTCAATCTGTTATTTAGTTAAAAGGTGACCTCAGGCTAGTTTTGGTTCAAGGTTTCAAGAGTATCTCAGGGCAATAGCCTTGGCGAGTGCTCCAGTCTCAACAGGTCCAGTAAATCTGGTTTGTTTGTATTTTTTAGGAATTTAAGGCTCTATTCCACATTTTACCCCATTCTATCAGGCCAGTCTATTGTGGCCCTGATCAGAACAGTCGGTAGTGGTAGCCGGACACCATCTAGTTCTTCTGATCTCAGGGTAGATGAGGCTGTGGTTCATGTAGACTACTAGTCCTGTAGACTAGCTTCTTTGAGTCTTTGGTTACCTTCTTTCTCTTTTCCGCTGGATGAGTAGAGACCAATAGATGGCCGAATCAGCAAACATTATTAAGTGCCTAATTACAGACCTGACAATTTACCAGGGCTGAGAACAGGTCATATGCTGTTAGTAAGTATTGTTTGTTTCTCAGTAGAAACTACTCCTTAGAAGTAACACTTTATATAGTGGCAGAGGTCTCAGAATAGCCTACAAAATCCCATGAAAATAATCCTGTAATTAAATGACAGTGCTGACCAGAAGCAATCCAGGTTTTGTAGGGCTTGAAGCTCTTATAATTTGAGGAGTTGCCTTTAAGAAAAAGAAGACAAAATTACAAAAACTCCTCCTAAGGGCTCATGTAAACAAGGGGCTAAGAAGGAGCCTGGGTGGTTCAAGCAGTTGGTGATCCGCTGCTAATCTAAAGGTTGGCGATTCAAACCCACCCAGCGTCTTTATTTTTATAAGACCTGGCAAACTGCTTTTATGAAGATTATAGCCAAGAAAACCCTATGGAGCAGTTTTACTCTGTAACACATGAGGTCACTATGAGTCAGCATCCACTCTACCGCAATGGTTTTGCTTCTTAGTAAACCCTCTTTGATGTTAGTATTTCTGTAGAACTCTACTGGTTCCTCATTTCACCTAGGATGCCTTTGACACATCTCCTTCCCTTTCCCCACCAAATTTAGAAGAGATAGGAGCAGGGACTCAAACACACAGTTTCTTCTCCCTGGTCATAGTAGGGCAGTGGGACTATCACGACTTCCAGAACCAGCAGAGGAGAGGGTGGAAGGAGCACAGCCTGAGGAGGGGGGGGGCAGACTGGATGGAACCTGAGGTGGTCTCTATTCACCACCAACCATGCCACAGGAGTTGCTGGCAAATCCATTTTGTCAGCATAAGCTAAATCTACTAGACATGTAATCTTGGAATAATCTCTCTAGCTATTCATAGTTATTAAGATGACTATATGGGGCAGTTCTACTCTCTTCTGTAGGGTTGCTATGAGCCAGTATGGACTCACCAGCAATGGGGTATATGCACACTTAACATAAAAAGAATGATAAACATTTTTTTTTCCAGTATGAAGTAATAAAAAAATCACCTCTTTGCCCCCTTAGTACCACCAGGATTTCTGAATTCCATATCTTCAAACACTCTAAATATGATTTTCAAAACTTGATATTATTTTTTTGCCCAGAAAAGTTAAATTTTAATCTTCAAAAGCACCACTACCATAATAAATTATCTTTTATTCCTAATACTATAGCTTATAAATACTTGGTTCTATAGGATCATTCATAACATATGAATTTGAGTTTTTTATTTCTTACTTTTCTTTTAAGTATAGCTTGCCTTTACCACTGACTATAGAAAGAGAGGAGCCTTGGGGGCAGAGTGATTAAAAGTGCTCAGCCGCTAACCAAAAGGACAGCAGTTTGAATCCACCAGCCAGTCCGCAGGAGAAGCATGTGGCAGTCTGCTTCCATAAAGATTTACAGCCGTGGAAACCCTATGGGCAGTTCTACTCTGTCCTACAGGGTCGCTATGAGTCGGATGGACTCGGCAGCTGGGTTTGGTTTTTTGTTTGTTTATAGAAAGAAAACCAAGGAAAATGCAAGTTGATTGGGAAAGAAAAAAAAAAAAAGACAGTAGAAGCAATATACTCTTCTCCCATAATTTCTCTAAATCGAAAAGAATTAAATTGAATGAGTTTTTTTCTAAAAAAGAGGTTTTCTAATCAAGTTAATTTTTCCAAGTAATCAGGTTTAGAGTATCTTTGGCAGGATTATTCACAAATAAGTGCTCCTAACATAAGCACTACTCTGAAATGTGTTTTCTTCACATTTGCTCCGTGCAGTAACACCTAATATTGATTAAGTTGTCTGCTATGTGTCAAGCATAGGATTATGTCATTAATAATGCTTAGGAACTAACTCACCTCATCTCCCTAGCAACACAAGCAGGTACATCCTAACATTATCATCATTCTTGTGCACGTGTGGAAATGGAGGCAGAGAAGTGAAGTAATTACTACAAGGCCAAATGGTAGAGCCAAGATTCATCCTCACTAGTTAGGTCCCAGAGTCCACAATCTTAACCATTTCTCTTCAATCTCCTCTGTTTGTCTGCTTCAATTTTACATATTCTTCAAAGCCAGGCTCAAACCCTAGTTCCTCAATGGAGGCCTATCTCAGCAACCCCAGCTTTTTGAGTTTCTGAACTTGTGGAGTATCCATAGTCCTCCTCACTTCCTGGAGTTTTATGTTCTTACAGTATTGAGAATCCTTTCACGTCTTATATGCTAACTCTACCAACAGGATCATGAGTTAGAATTGTCTCCATGAACAACTGACCCCTTTGCCATGAGATCAGAAGAACTAGATGGCACCAGTTTAAGATTATTGAACATTTTGATCAAAGAGTCTATAGAAGAATCTTGATCAAAAGGGGTGAAATGTGGAAAAGAAATTTAAATTCTCATGGAATCCAGTCTTTGAGTCATTGAGGCTGGATGAACCCTGAAACTATTGCCCTGAGATAATTTTTAAACCTTGAATCTTTTACCAAAAATATCCCCTGAAGTATTC